TCAGACGGTAATTTTCTGCCAAACTCTTTCTGCCATTTTTTAAAATAAGGGGTAACATCGACATATTTCCAATCTAGGGGAACTATCCCTTGGTCCAGGGATTTTCTATAAAGGAGTTAAAAGTGGTATGCATAGTGCATCTGTCAGTTCCTTTATGACTTTGGATTCAAATCCATCCACACCTTGGAATTTTGAGTCTTTTAGTCTGTCAATGCTCCTCCTGATTGTGTCGCATGTAATAGGTATAGTCCTTAACTCATTTTCTTCACCTCCTTCAAACATTTGTGTGAGTGTTAGGATGTCATTCAATCATTTGTGTGGGTGTTAGGATGTCATTCAATCATTTGTGTGGGTGTTAGGATGTCATTCAATCATTTTAGTGTGTACACTGATGTAAAGTATTCATTTAGATTGTTTGCCGCCCTTTTATCATCCAATATAACTTAGTCTCATCTTTTAGGGGTCCTTCACAGTCCGTTGTTTTGGTTTTACTTTATATATATGCATAGAATAATTTTGGATCTTCCTCTATGTTTTGGGAAGTTATTTTTGTAGTTTCTTTTGGCTAATCTGATTTCTGGGTAGGTGAATTTAATTCCTTTTTATATATCTTATAATCCATGATGTTCATCATGAATTTATACCATCTCTAGAGGTTCCGTTTAGTTAACAACACTCTTTTTACTACTTGTGTCATCCATCTTGTTCCCTTTCTTTTCTTTCTCTTTTTTGGTACATATCTTTATACAATTTCAGTAATGATCATTTTGAAATTTTCTCATGATGTTTCCATGCCATGATAACCTATCAGCTCCCTCCATGAAATGTTTGCTATTCCTCTCTGATTCCCTTCATGGTAATCTAGAAGGTCATTATCATGAACCTTTACAAAGGTTTCTTTAACTGTATTCCATCATTGAAAATTGTGATCACATGATGGAATGAGTTTTTTCCCTACTTGAATTTGATCAATCATGCCCTCTTCTGATATTACCACAAGGTCCAGAATGCTGTTACCTTGAGTGGGCTCTACCACATGTTGTATGAAAAAGGAATCCTGCACCAGGCCTAGAAATTAATCTTTTGCTTGCGATGTTAGATTTACCCAGTCTCTTGTCTCGTGGTTAAATCCCCCCATTATAAGAGTTTGGGTTTGTGAGACAGGACTGATCACATTATACAAATTAGTAACCTCCTCTGCTGCTACTGCTGCTGTGTCAGCCCTGTACATACTCACATTGTCAGTATGTTACCATCTTGAGCTAGTATATTGCACCATACAGACTCTGAGGATCCCATGGTGTTCAGTTCCTCATTGGTGGTTGTATTCAGGTTCTCTTTCACATAAAGCAATGCACCACCTGGTCTTTTTTGTCATGTGCTTTCTAAACGGAGGATGATACCCTGGGAGGAGTCCTCTCATCCCCATGTTTAACTTTGCCAATGATGTCTGGAGTATCGGCCTCAGCATATGCGCATAATGCATTAAATTTATTCACCAAGCTTCTGGCATTAGTGTAGAAGTACTTTAAATTTCTTATGTTGTTCCTATTGGGCTGAGAGATAGCTGCTAGATTAGTTTATTACTATTCTGTTTTTTGTCACTCCAGTTTTGTGCCTGTTCATCTTCCAAAATATATAGGGTTAGTTCTACCTGGCTGAGTGGAGGACTACATCCTCTCCTCTATCTACTATCTTGATCACCTGTCCTCTCCTAATCATTAGCTTTGAATCTTTGTATCATCTAAGTTCCTTAACTCCTTTAGCTTCCCTCTTAGTATTCTGTCTTTTTTTTGCTGTTCAACTGTGAAGTCTGGGGAGATACAGACATAGTTATACCCTTCAAGATCTTTTAGGTTATGCACATTGGTTAGTACCTTCCTTTTGTGTTCAAAGTTTACAATGGTTATGGCTATACTCACTTCGGGCTTACCTAACCTCTCAACATTGGATAGACTAAGATCTTCCTCCTCACCTATCAATTTCACTATTATTTCCTCAACATTTTCCTGGTCATTCTTACCCTCTACTTTTTAAGTAAATATATAAGTGAATATACCGTCAAATTTGGCCCCATATCTTGGAGATACCAAAGGCCCATGAGCATCTTAATATGGCCCTCTTTGTATCCAGTCAATGAAAAGGTAAAGTTCTATTTGCACTGTGGATGCTGTGTTAGGTAGTGTGTTGTCAAGAGTAAAATGGGCTTGGATCACCTGTGTATGGTAAGAGTTGAATGGGGTTTGTGTTTGTTACGTTGGCTAAGACAACAGCAAGGAGGGTTCCCTGCAAACACACAACGTAACTGTCCCTATTTTCTGTTTGTTACAACTTGTAATAAAGTTGTTACATCTTGTTATAATGTTTTTATGACATATTAGAATGTTGTTATAACTTACTATATTGGTTGTTACAACTTGTTGGGAGGTGTTAAAACTTGTTTGAATATTGTAGCAACATTGCAGTTTTTTACAACTTGTTGGGAGGTGTTAAAACTTGTTCGAATATTGTAGCAACATTGCAGTTTTGTCGTGTGTTTGGCAGGATTGGACTTAGAATGGAGCGTTGAGGAGGCACCTTTTCTGATTAGGATGTTATCTGAGATGCCACCTGAAAAGTTCTATTTCTGAGATTGGATTTTAGCCAGGAGAGTAGTTTATCCTATAATCTGTGAGCTTGGCTAGTAAGCTAGTGTGAGGCCTCTTTGAGAAAAGGTAGAGGTTAATAGAGAATTTAACGGCAGAGCTCATGTTCAACGCAGAGTATTTAGTCTTGGGTGGAGCACTGCAGTCCAAAGCAGGCTTCAAATGGTGATATGAGGGTTTAATGTTCAATATACCATTGGAGGTGAGTTTGCGTGTGTCATTACATGACATTATCGAGACATGATAGTAATAAGATGGGTTTATACTAGGCAGGTCTTTACCTATTTTGAGGAAAGGGAGGTTGATGCTACACTTCTGTATTAATAGGTTATTCCCATTGTAATAATAATAATAATAATAATTTTTATTTAGGTACGAGATTGATAATTTTTATTTAGGTACGAGATTGTAAGGTACGAGATTGACAGCTATACCCTAAAGTATCTCTAACAACACCCGCTCCTACTTTCTTATAAATAATGGAAGTGCAGGGGTCTGTATAGTAATAGGCACCAGTTCTAACTACATGGGACAAGAAATACACCTTGGGGTACAATTTTACAAAAAGGATTTTATTTAACAAATACCAGATTTCCTCACACTTCTTAGAACAGGGGGGGGGAGGGGTTTACTTGGATCCACCACAGGATTGATACAGACAAAAAAAGGGGGGGGGGGAGGGGTTTACTTGGATCCACCACAGGATTGATACAGACAAAAAAAGGGGGGGGGGAGAAGGGTCCTTATCTCTCTACAACCTGGGACTTAAGGTCATTACTTTATTTCATTCCTCACAGGTCACTACAAAGGGCCTGGGTTTACAAATGAATATACAAAATAAATGTGGATAATCCCCCCCCCCGTGACACACAGCCGAGCACATACACCTGAATTAACAACACACCACTCTCCCTACACACAGGGTTCAAAAAATCCTTATTTCCACAAATTCCTATCTCTAACTTATAAAGAAAAGGGGAAGTACCGCTATAAACCTCTATAATACTGCACTTATTGTGTTTGTTAGAGACCATCCACAACACTGGTCTGGTTGTCACTGCCTGTCTCTCCCAAGTGACTGATAGGGGCTTGCACATGTCCCTGCCTGCCTGGTTCCAATAATGTCCCCTCCCTATACATGTCATACACATTTCCAAATACTTCATTTATGTCTTATAATGTTCCAGGCTGTTTTTCTGCATTTAACACTGTTGTTTCTCTATATTTTCTTGCATTGAATCTGCTTTCTCTTAACCATTTTATCCCTTTTGTTTACATTGTTTTTTTTTTTAAGAGATTACATTTTCCTGTTGAGATGATGCTCTGTACATCTGAAAGGGGTCAGAGTTCCAGACTCTGAACAGTAGAACATGTAGATACTTTTTTTTCAACATTTAACACTGCTATTTCTCCCTACACAAGGGTCTCTCTCAATAGCACTGCTATTTCTCCCTACACAAGTGTCTCTCAATAGCACTGCAATTTCTCCCTACACAAGGGTCTCTCTCTTACACCATGTGACCAGCATACGTTAAAATGATTTATGATGGTTTTATGTAGAATGGGTAGTATATTTTTGATGAGTTCATATAGGATTCCATCCTTGCCTGGTGTTTTTTCTATGGATAAGTGGGTTGAAGCTAGTTGTAGTTTGCGTAGTGTAGAATTCTTTTCTATACTTGAAATGGGCAGTTAGGTTGATATTTAATTTCTTGTTTGAGAAGTTCTTGGGAGCAGATGAAATAGGTCAAGACAGTTTATTTTAGGTGTTCAGCTCCTAAGGTGTTTGACAGTTTTCCATTGATCACAAGGGGAAATGTTGGACAGTTTTCTGTATGGCCTAAAAGTCTAGAGGACTGTAATATTTGAAGGATCTGCAATAACATAGCCTTAAGCTCTAGGGAGCTATAAAGGGGCCACACAGAAAATGGTGTTTCATTACACTCAATGCTTTATTTCGTTGTCACATATTTCTTCTAATTTCATGTATTATTTAAGTTTAAATATTATATTACAGTAGCCTATTTTCTTATTTTCTCTATTTCATCTATACATTATTTCAATTTTGACTTTGTTTGTTTGTGTTCCATGTGTACCAAATAACTTAATTTTTAAATTTTTAAACATCCATTTATCTTCTCAATATTGCTACTTCTCTTGTCATTGGTCACTGTCCATTATTTTTCATTTTTATTTTCCCTTCGCCACATTTTCAAATTATAATCAATCTCTTCTATAATGTGCATAGTCTTGAACACTGCCTCCTTCAATATATTGCCTTCTCTATTCCGTCGCTTCAGCTCCTAAGGCACTAAATTGTAACTTCTTTCACTAATCTGTACTTTTCCCTCACAGCCGGGCTCTAACCTCTTCTCCATCAACTTCTTCCGCTTGTTCCGTGTGATGCGTTTGGTGAAGCTTCTCTCCAAAGGTGAAGGTATCCGGACACTACTATGGACGTTCATCAAGAGTTTCCAGGCTCTGCCTTACGTTGCTCTTCTCATCCTCCTCCTCTTCTTCATCTACGGCGTCGTTGGCATGCAGGTCCTGTGCACTTAAACACTAATAAGTAGTAAAGTAATAATTAAAATTAGACAGAATTAATTGTAAAATTATAAAATATAATAATTTAAGACAAAAACCTATAAATATTTATATATTTGTAGTAAAATGAAAACCTATAAGTGTATGGATGAAACAAAGAATGTGAAATACCAAGTAATTTGTTTCTATGTTCTAGAAATGTTAGCAAAGAAGGCTTTTACCATTTTGTATTAAAAAGATTTCCTCTTTACTTATATATTCATGAAGTAAGCATAGTGGCAAAACATTGAATAGCTTAAGATTCCTACTTTGTACTTGATGTTTTCCTTACAATTGTTGATAGTCTCCTTGGCAGAGTTTAACTGTTAATTGGCTGGGTACCATTGAATATAGATACATAAAATATTTCCTATATAAATTTTGATTAATTTTTCAATAATGTGCTCTGTGGTTTTTTCATATTACGAATTTCATCCATAATTTATTACCTAAGGTAACTTTGTTGAAAGGGATATTTTTAGTACAGCGGTGCAGTGGTCAGTGCAGTTAGTTCATAGCTGAAAGCTCCTGTATTCAATATCCACAGCAGGATAGAAGCACTTGGGCAATGTTTCTTTTCAATTGATATCTCTCTTTACATAGCAGTAAATAGATACTCGTGAGTTAGTTGCAACTGTTGTTTGTTGCATTCTGTTAAAGATCAGTACTTGACTTAGGGAAACCTTAACCCTTGGGATGCCGTTGTGATTATAACCTGCAACACACCCAGGCGCAAGAAATAAAAAATAATAAAAAAATATTTTCCTCTTATAAAAGTGTTCATTTGTGTTCCCTGACCACTGGGGGAAGAATTGTAGGTGACATATTGTGGCCGCAATAGGACAAAGAAGTCTGGCAAATTTGAGGCATTGACAGAGCAATCGGCAGAGGCGGTCAGCTCTGTCCGAGCTGTCAGGCAGAAGTTGCCCAGCGATATTATTACCTAATTATTTCAATGTCTCTGATTTATTTTTTCTTAGTTTTTTGAAGTAATGCAGTGGAACCACATGTGACTAGTGCCTCAATTTACGAGCATTTTGAATAATGAGTGCGTCGATTGGCGACAATTTGTTTTGATTGGTGATCGCTCTTTTGATTAACAAAAAACCACATGGTGCGTTCCTGCACATTCTCGGATGCCTCCGACGATGCAAATACATTTTTTTTTAACGGCGAAACAAAACCGACTCGTTTCGTTTCGCCGACCAACGAAACGAGTCGGCGACGACTGGCCAATCCGCGAACAAAGAAATGAACCGAGACAGCTGTCCACCAGGACGCAGGACACACCCCGGACATGAACCTCACAGTTAGCCAAACCCTGAGAATCCAGCAAACGAGCCACTCTAAGATTCCAACCCCAAAGGTCAAACACCTAAGAGAAACCCTGTGTTTCCGGCAAAGAACCACTAGAAAACATTCCGAATGGAGCTAAATCGTAGAGCACTGAGTGACCCAAACCCTCCGAACCGCAAACCAGACAGCCACGAACTCCCGAACCGTGCTGTTAGCCCGACGGACGGACAGACCATACCATCCCCAGCCGACTTGGTGAGCACTGGTCACAAAGCCCCAGCCGAGAGATGACCTGTCCGTGAACACATCGAGTGAAGGCTCGGGGAGGTGCTATGGCACGGAACCCCAAAAACCCCAAAGAGGAAGTTGGTGACACAGCACCAACACAAGCTCCCCGGAGGAACGAACCCAACGATTGCAACAGAGGCGGAAGGGGAGTCTCCGAAGGAACCAAACAGACGCAGAAGCCAAACCTGACCCTGCGGGCAGACCAGCACGTTGAAGTTCAGACTCCCGCACAACTGCTTGAGCAACCGCCGAGCAACCTGGGACCCCCTCATAAACAGCCAAAGGCGAGACCAAAGCTGCAGCAACACTTCTGGAGGGAAAGACAAGGAGGGCATAGAATTCAGGGTGTAGACTGAAGAAGTCCAGAAGAACCGCAGATTCGACAGGCCCATATCTGCATAGAGCAGACAGGAACCCTAGAAGGATGAGGCGGATCGACCACATCCATTGCACTCACGAAGATGACACGACGAAACACATGGGAAGAAGCCCACCCTGCCAGCCCTGAACCCCCCAAAGGGGGAGAAGCCGTCAACCGCCGCCACCAGAGGCCGGAAGACAACCAAAAGTGCACAGTAACTGCGGGACCATTCGAGAGTTAGCAGAGCAAGCTGCTCCCCCAGCGCCCCATCAACAGAGTAGGGAACAGAGCCCCTTCCGAAAGAATAAGTATACATACACATATACACATATATACATATATATTATGTATATACACTTACACACAAGGTATGTTACACACATACCTGAATCGACTTGAGAATGGTCCAGGACGAACCGAAACGTCGTCGTCCCTTCACCTTCTAGCCACGGTCTGGTCATCATTACACACACGTGCGTATGCACATACACATGTGCATACATGTGCACACTTCACCTGATCTTTCAGGCATCCCTGTGTACAGGAATCGTAGCAGATGTGTGGAAACAGGCTAACATAGTTCCAATCTACAAAAGTGGCAGCAGGGAAGACCCCCTTAATTATAGACCTGTATCATTGACAAGTGTAATAGTGAAAGTATTGGAAAAACTAATCAAAACTAAATGGGTAGAACACCTGGAGAGAAATGATATAATATCAGACAGACAGTATGGTTTTCGATCTGGAAGATCCTGTGTATCGAATTTACTCAGTTTCTATGATCGAGCCACAGAGATATTACAGGAAAGAGATGGTTGGGTTGACTGCATCTATCTGGACCTAAAAAATGCTTTCGACAGAGTTCCACATAAGAGGTTGTTCTGGAAACTGGAAAATATTGGAGGGGTGACAGGTAAGCTTCTATCATGGATGAAAAATTTTCTGACTGATAGAAAAATGAGGGCAGTAATCAGAGGCAATGTATCGGAATGGAGAAATGTCACAAGTGGAGTACCACAGGGTTCAGTTCTTGCACCAGTGATGTTTATTGTCTACATAAATGATCTACCAGTTGGTATACAGAATTATATGAACATGTTTGCTGATGATGCTAAGATAATAGGAAGGATAAGAAATTTAGATGATTGTCATGCCCTTCAAGAAGACCTGGACAAAATAAGTATATGGAGCACCACTTGGCAAATGGAATTTAATGTTAATAAATGTCATGTTATGGAATGTGGAATAGGAGAACATAGACCCCACACAACCTATATATTATGTGAGAAATCTTTAAAGAATTCTGATAAAGAAAGAGATCTAGGGGTGGTTCTAGATAGAAAGCTATCACCTGAGGACCACATAAAGAATATTGTGCAAGGAGCCTATGCTATGCTTTCTAACTTCAGAATTGCATTTAAATACATGGATGGCGATATACTAAAGAAATTGTTCATGACTTTTGTAAGGCCAAAGCTAGAATATGCAGCTGTTGTGTGGTGCCCATATCTTAAGAAGCACATCAACAAATTGGAAAAGGTGCAAAGACATGCTACTAAGTGGCTCCCAGAACTAAAGGGCAAGAGCTACGAGGAGAGGTTAGAGGCATTAAATATGCCAAAACTAGAAGACAGAAGAAAAAGAGGTGATATGATCACTACATACAAAATAGTAACAGGAATTGATAAAATCGACAGGGAAGACTTCCTGAGACCTGGAACTTTAAGAACAAGAGGTCATAGATTTAAACTAGCTAAACACAGATGCCGAAGAAATGTTTGAAAATTCACCTTCGCAAATAGAGTGGTAGACGGTTGGAACAAGTTAAGTGAGGTGGTGGTGGAGGCCAAGACTGTCAGTAGTTTCAAAGCGTTATATGACAAAGAGTGCTGGGAAGACGGGACACCACGAGCGTAGCTCTCATCCTGTAACTACACTTAGGTAATTACACACAGTGTACACATGTACATGCACATATGTACACACAAATACATGTGAAAAGAAAATTACAAGCCGCCAACCTGTGGACAGAGAGCACCACACCGGTCAGGTGAAGAAGGCACAAAACTGCATCAAAAAGCCCACCTCGACAACAAAACCCCAAAGTCCCCGCACGGTCACAACATGTGCCAAGACCCAAAAAGATCAGTCTGCAAGCCAGGAAGACCCCGGAGCCCCAGATGGCAGAACCGAGTCTCACACGAGGAAACATAGCCCCCTGAACCCATAAAAGGGGGCCCAAGAGGAAGAAACTTCCAGAACGAAACCAAAGAACCCAAAGGAACCCGGAATCGAACCAGGGGGAGCCCAAACCACCACATTTGCTGGCGGAGATACACCACAGAAAGGCAAAGCACAGCCCCAGACAGAACCCCCAGGGAAATGGTCAAAACAGACTGAAAACCGAGGGACAAAGTGTGGGAGCAAGCATAACAGACAGGGACACTTAGCCCAAACCCATAACAGAAAACAGAAAACCCAGTGTAAAATCAAAACTCAAACGTTCCCAGAGGAACAGGAAACGGGCACGGGCAGAAAACACCAGAAAAGCAAAGAAACGACAACAGGAGAATAAAACCCCTGAAAAAGGTTTAAAACTTACCCAAGACGCTCGCTCGCACACCCAGGAGCATGTAAACAAACCGCAATGCCGCCCTGGTGGCCACGCCAGGAATCTGGCAGAAGACAATGGCCACCAGAACAGAGGACTGTGACTGACGCAAAAGATTAAAAAACACACCAGCAAAAGTGGGAAGCAAGCAGACTGGATGGGCGAAAAACTCAGCCCAGAAGCAGAAAACCCTGGCAGGGACAAACTGCCCCAGAACTGCTAGCAGGCATCCCCCACAGCCCCGGGAACCCGCTACAGAGGCCCCGGGGCAGAGCCGTCCTCCAAGCCCTTTGCCCTTAAAGAAAAGGAAGAGTCCATGGGAAAGGCAGCAAGAAAGGGCCACTGGTAAGACCCAGAAGTCTTGGCAGGAGGAACAGGCTCGAAAACCTCCGTCCCCAACCCAAA